CACTCTTCAAATTACTCTTGGCACTTATAGGCAACTGACTTCTGCCCCAAATCCTTTCACTCCACACATTATTTCAGGCAAGCACTATCGGGCACAAGTTATCAAGCACACATATTTTAGGGTGTTAATGTCACTTGAGTATATAACACCACCCATCCCCACCCTTTTTTAAACCTCAGTCAAACAACAACACAGCCATGATTAATTAATCTATTTTAAGCTGAACTTTACAGCTGCCATCAAGAAACTGTTTCTTGAATATTTTACCCTTTGAAAAAATTCTGACCTTTAAAGTGAGACCTTAACATTCATTTCAAGATTAAATCACTTTTATATAAGCAAAACTAAAAAAGGAAATGTTACAAGGAAATATATACTAAAAGACAGACAATTTCCTTCCACATTTCGATAATCATCTTTTTTAATAAGAATAATAATAAATAATAAAACAGTATTATACAACATTTTCTCTAGAGATCATTAAATTTTCTGCCATCAAGTATGTTAAAAGGTCACAAGGTGTTCTTTTGACAGACAGGAAAATAGTGATACTTATAGCATCTCAGTAAGCAACCAAGATCAGTCAGTACTTCAGAGGCTTTGATCATGTTTTTTTGTTTTTTTGAAGCCTTTATTTAAGGTCGCTGCCGGGAAGCCAATATGGGCGACTGTACCCTCAAGTCGGGCCATCCTAAAGCTTCCCACCGAGATTTTTCGTCGATTTTTTTCCAGCTTTATTGGTGGAGGAAGACCCCAGGTGCCCCTCCGGGCATTATTTCAGGCACGAGCAGGCACCTGGGTAGAACCACCAACCTTCTGTGAGCCAGCTGGATGGCTTCCATCACATGAATGATTTCGACCCGAGTGTGGATCGAACCTACAGCAGTGAGGGACCTGTGATCTCAAGTGAGCGACTTTAACCACTCAGCCACGGAGGCCCCCCTTTGATCATGGTCTGCACTATTGGCTCTTTATAAGTTAGTCAATATGTATTTTGACTTTCTTTCCCTAAAAATAATGAATGGTTCAATCCACAGATTGACAAACGGGCAAGTCCATTGAAGATATTTAGTGTGGTAAGGGTAATTAATCTAATATAGATCTAACCTGAATTTTTAATCTTGAGTTTGATAGTGTAAGAGACTATAATTTGACTGTGATGGTACTGCTAAAAATCCTCAAAATGTTCCTCATGATTATAAAGCTTAAGTAAAAGACTTAACATTATACGGCTTAATGCTGATTCATCAAAAAAAAAAAAAAAAATCACGCTGTAAATATAGGTGAATACTTTCAACAAATGTATTGCATACTACAGTTTATTAAGAGTACATAGACTTACAAGTACTTACCATAATTATCGTGCTTGTATAACAAGTAATTGAGAAAAAAAAAAACTTCCAGAGAAAAGCGTGCTTTACTAGACACATGTAACCTTGACCTTGATAAATTAACCGGAATGCCGGTAACCTTTGGAAAAATTTACCGATATTTATACTCGTGACATACTGACTGAGTAAAGACCTGATTAATGACAATGTTTAATTCATCCGTGTGTTAATGAAAACCACACTGACATTGGCTGGAAACAGGAAACCAATACTCGTATTTCACATTCTCCAGCTCTCTCAAGACTTTCACTATTAAATGATTACAAACCATACCATTTGTTTGACATTTCCATTCTATACAATTTGACACAGGTTCCTTGTAGTTTGTAGAAATTTTCAATTATTGCAAAAAAAAGATGTTCATAGAAGTGAAATTAATACTATCTAGAGATCTGACATTGATGTTTAAAGGGCATATATTTATTCACTGAAGATATTTACTCAAAGAGATTTACTGTAGTTTTCAGATAAGAAATTAACAATGATTATTTCCCCCCATGTATGATTTCAACAAGACATGAGCAACAACTCTGCAAAAGCACAAGATAAACAATGTGTCCATAGGACACCGGTGCCCTCTCATTCCACTGTTGTCAATCTACTAACTCTAGGTCAAATTTTTTTGGGACTCTTCACCATACAGTCAATACTTATTTCAAATTATTTCAAATTTTTCCCTAAAAATGATGAATGGTTTTGTCCAGATTAAAAAATAGACAAGTCCATTTAAGATATTTAGGGGGGTCCAGGTAAATCTTAACAGCTGTAGAGAGCTTTTTGTTTTAATTTCTTGCTGCCATGTGTCAGTCTTAAACTGCCCATGATCTCTTCAACCAATCATTTATTCTTGTAACGTGTGCTTTTACCAGTAACAATTTACTTTCCTTTCCTTTGTCTTTCCATTCTCACAACAGTTGTCAAATGTTTCACTTTTATATTTAGAAATAATTCTAAAACAAGCAAAACATAATGTCTGTAGTGTCAAGGAAAAATCACTCCCCTGTGAAGAATTTCTAATAACATGCCTCATTGTAAAACTGTAGAAAAACAGATAGTTATTATCTTGTAAATGGTTAGACAAAGTTTGACCTTCACCTTTATTTTCAACATGAATGCATGAATGTGAGCATAGTTCTGTTGTTTTTGGCATCTCTCTTTAAATATCGTTTTTTCCTCTATAAAAAAATCAGGAATACTTACTAATTATTAACATACAGACAATATGCATTTAATGAATGACAATGACAAACTTAAATACAATTTAAGTTCTGGGTTACTAAATCTAGGGTGACCATTGGTCCAAAGTCGCTCACCTGAGACAACTTTGGTAAGGGGATGCTAAATTATTTTACATAACCAAATAAAAAAGCTCTAGGCTTTGTAGAATTTTACATTTTTGAAAACCCATTTTTGACTCTGTGATATGAATATGCAACTGACAAGAACAACAACTTTGGTAGGAAACTAAAATACACTTAAAATATAGTAATTGGTTTAAGAGGAGACAGTTAAAAAAAAAAGAACAATGTATAATAATGTATAATGAAGGACAATGAACAAAGGGCGATCACACAAAAATGCAGTGCTAAGCTAAAAAAAACCCAACTTTTCAAGGTAAAATTAGCAACATTTGAAATATAAAAAAAGAGACCTACAAATAATAATAAGGACATCACATTGTTTAGTTTTGATACATTCACATAATTATTTTCATGCTGGTTTGAAGAATAACAAAAAAATTCACAGTAATTAAAATAATTAAACTGTAATAACAAGCTGTTATCTTCCGTGTGATAACCACTTTTTCACTTATATCTATTCATCCTTTCCCTTCATCAACTTCAAGGCAAATAATGGCCGTTATTATAGCAAATAGAGGACAAATCCGAGCTCGAGAAGAATTGGAACATGGGAAGGTGAATTGTGGGAAGGTGAATTGTGGGAAGGTGAATTTTTTAATCTTTAGTTTTACCAAAGCAACTAGAATAGATCAAGATTAGCCGGCACATCTCTGCCATCTGATCCTAGTTCACACTGTTCACTACTGGTGTCCGAGTAAGTATATATTTTGAAAAATTTCCTCAAAATTAATAATAGTTTTGATCATGAATGAAGAGATTTAGCATGGTAACGATAAAATCTCATAAACATACAAATTAAAGGGACACCATGTGTTCTCAAGTCTTTTTATAATGACTTTTTATATTTATTTTCTATCATAGAGTGCAAAGCATCTGTTTTTATTCTGCAATTTTGAATGCATTTCAGTCTGACATTTCACGAGTGTTCTAATTCAGATGCATGACAGTGTAAATCATGTAGGTTGAAGACCTAGTCAACTGAACTTAAGCATCTGACATATTATGAGATAATATATTACAATGAAATAAACTTATTGAATTAATAAAAATCACGTCAAATTCTAGGAAAAAAATAGATTCAGTAATCCATTAAGTGCAGAATTCCTTAAATGGACTTGTCCAGCTTCTATTTTTGGAACAGTCCATTATAAACTCTGGGGAGAGTAACATCCATGTCAGTTTAGGCAGGGTAACATTTTTGTGAATTGTTTTTTAAGTACAGGTCATATGACCACTTTTAGCTTTACTGGTGGAGAAGACCTTAGGTGCCTCTCTGTGCGATATTTCAGGAACAAAAAAGTACAGACGTTCCATAAGATAGGAAAACAATTACTCACAAGAAGAAAAATAAACTATTTGACTAGAATTAAAGACTTGAGGTTTCATTAGACTAGAATTAGGAAAATAATAGACGAGAATAATAATTTTGCTGATTAATAATATGATATGAAATAAACTATTTTCATTTTGATTTTTGACTTCTTTACAAGAATATACTTGCCCAATGCCATATTGTTTCTAGAGAAGCAATTAATCATGCACACACTCTGATCTTATTTTTAAAAACAGACAGTATTTCATAAGGAAATATCAAACAAATAATGCATGATGTAGTGGGATTGTTTTGCTGGAATTTAATCACTGTGACACTTAACAGATCTAACAGGCGACTTTCCTGATTTAATGGTGGAGGAAGGGCCTCTACCTGTATTATTTTTGGTCTCTGACAATAACACAAGTAATTGAAAAGTACATACCTTAATGATATACTGTGTGATTCTGACAATGACCATATTTCATACATATCCTGCTATATTGCAGTATACTGCTGACAATAGCCAATACACAATATACATACACTACTGTATATTGTTGGCAGATTCTGACAATGACAAAAATCTTTTTATAGATTACCCCTGCATATTATTTATAACCCATGTATACTTCTAACAATTGCCAATATATCAAATACATACACTTGTACAATGTTGGCAGATTCTGACAATGACAAAGCTCATTATACAATACATACCCACTTTATTTTGTGGTAAACAACTGACAATATCATTAAACAACTGACAATATCTTTATTGTGAATCATATAAAATACATACTACATGTACAATGTTGGCAGATTATGACGATGACAATGATCTTGTTATATACTGCTGACAATGGCCAATATACAAAGTACATAGATTTGTACACTGTTGGGAGATTCTGACAATGACAATTATAGAATACATACCCTGGTATATTGCAGTATATTGCTGACAGATTCTGACACAAACAATATTCTAGCCCTATCACAGCCAACAACAAACAAAAACCCATCTGCTGCCTGAAAAATAAAAAAAAACATTTTAGGTTATCAGTTTTTTTATTTCTTCTCTTCTCTAGAAAAAAGCAAGAAAAAGTCTCCATTCAAATCTAATCAAACATAAAGCTTTGATAACAATGTAACATTATCTAAAATTTCAAGTTAATGAAAAAACAATTTCTATCACAACCCAAATGTCACTTGCTTTAAAGCAGCGAACAATTGAGCCTGATTGGATGTAATCAAGTTCATGCAAGTTTTGAAGTTAGTTTGATGCAGACAGATTTGACCTAATTTGATGCAGACAAGATTTGACCTAGTTTAATGCAGACAAGTTTTGACCTAGTTTGATGAAGACAAAGTTTGACCTAGTTTGATGCAGAAAAGTTTTGACCTAGTTTGATATAGAAAAGTTTTGACCTAGTTTGATGCAGAAAAGTTTTAACCTAGTTTGATGCAGACAAGTTTTGACCTAGTTTGATGAAGACAAGGTTTGACCTAGTTTGATGAAGACAAGGTTTGACCTAGTTTGATGCAGATAAGTTTTGACCTAGTTTGATGTAGACAAGTTTTGACCTAGATTGATACAGACAAGTTTTGACCTAGTTTGATGCACACAAGGTTTGACCTAGTTTGATGAAGACAAGGTTTGACCTAGTTTGATGAAGACAAGGTTTGACCTAGTTTGATGCAGATAAGTTTTGACCTAGTTTGATGTAGACAAGTTTTGACCTAGATTGATACAGACAAGTTTTGACCTAGTTTGATGCACACAAGGTTTGACCTAGTTTGATGAAGACAAGGTTTGACCAAGTTTGATGCAGACAAGGTTTGACCTAGTTTGATGCAGACAAGGTTTGACCAAGTTTTGATGCAGACAAGGTTTGACCTAGTTTGATGCAGACAAGTTTTGATCTAGTTTGATGCAGACAAGATTTGACCAAGTTTGATGCAGACAAGTTTTTGACCTAGTTTGATGCAGACAAGTTTTGATCTAGTTTGATGCAGACAAGATTTGACCAAGTTTAATGCAGACAAGTTTTGACCTAGTTTGATGCAGACAAGTTTTGACCTAGTTTGATGCAGACAAGTTTTGATCTAGTTTGATGCAGACAAGGTTTGACCAAGTTTGATGCAGACAAAGTTTGACCTAGTTTTGATGAAGACAAGGTTTGACCTAGTTTGATGCAGATAAGTTTTGACCTAGTTTGATGTAGACAAGGTTTGACCTAGTTTGATGCAGACAAGTTTTGACCTAATTTGATGCAGACAAGATTTGACCAAGTTTGATAAAGACAAGTTTTGACCTAGTTTGATGCAGACAAGATTTGACCAAGTTTGATGCAGACAAGGTTTGACCTAGTTTGATGCAGACAAGTTTTGACCTAGTTTGATGCAGACAAGTTTTGACCTAGTTTGATGCAGACAAGTTTTGATCTAGTTTGATGCAGACAAGATTTGACCAAGTTTGATGCAGACAAGGTTTGACCTAGTTTGATGAAGACAAGGTTTGACCTAGTTTGATGCAGATAAGTTTTGACCTAGTTTGATGTAGACAAGGTTTGACCTAGTTTGATGCAGACAAGTTTTGACCTAATTTGATGCAGACAAGATTTGACCAAGTTTGATGCAGACAAGGTTTGACCTAATTTTGATGCAGACAAGATTTGACCAAGTTTGATGCAGACAAAGTTTGACCTAGTTTGATGCAGACAAGTTTGACCTAATTTTGATGCAGACAAGATTTGACCAAGTTTGATGCAGACAAGGTTTGACCTAATTGATGCAGACAAGATTTGACCAAGTTTGATGCAGACAAAGTTGACCTAGTTTGATCGCAGACAAGTTTTGACCTAATTTGATGCAGACAAGATTTGACCAAGTTTGATGCAGACAAGGTTTGACCTAGTTTGATGCAGACAAGTTTTGACCTAGTTTGATGCAGACAAGATTTGACCTAGTTTGATGCAGACAAGTTTTGACCTAGTTTGATGAAGACAAGGTTTGACCTAGTTTGATGCAGACAAGGTTTGACCTAGTTTGATGCAGACAAGTTTTGACCTAGTTTGATGAAGACAAGATTTGACCAAGTTTGATGCAGACAAGTTTTGACCTAGTTTGATGAAGACAAGATTTGACCAAGTTTGATGCAGACAAGGTTTGACCTAGTTTGATGCAGACAAGGTTTGACCTAGTTTGATGCAGACAAGGTTTGACCTAATTTGATGCAGACAAGTTTTGACCTAGTTTGATGCAGACAAGGTTTGACCTAGTTTGATGCAGGCAAGATTTGACCTAGTTTGATGCAGACAAGGTCTGACCTAGTTTGATGCAGACAAGTTTTGACCTAGTTTGATGCAGACAAGTTTTGACCTAATTTGATGCAGACAAAGTTTGACCTAATTTGATGCAGACATTTAAGTAAAATATGACCTACTTCAGTTAATACTTAGGATGGTAATGAGTACTGATTTCAGTACTCGAATACTTAGTCATTCCTCAGATCGAGAACCAGGTCACTCGGAAAAGTCAGAACAAATTCTTGTTAACATGATTAATCAGCAGAAAAAAGTTACCTCTAGAATGATATGTTTAAGTTCATCTTCGGAGAGAAATGATGGTTTATGAAGTGCCTCTGTATATGAAGTTGATGATCCTGAAACAGAGAATAATACACAATGTTAACATTTTTGTTTTGTTTTTGGTTGGTTATACGGGACATCAACACAATTTAGCTCATATGGCGCCGAAAACTGTATACTGTAAAGAACCAGATATGATTTCATATTTTTCATGGTCCATTAATTACAAATTCCTACCAGATTCTTAATTTTAGTGGTACGCTATGTTCTTAAACATCACAGATATCAAACAGACCATCACAATACAGGAAGCCTCCATTGAACTCCTTTACTCCTATGGTTCCATGTAATTAAACAGTTAACTATATATTTAATAGTTCAAAATTATGCACGATTCAGATATTTTGTTGTGTGCTACTTATGTATGTAAAACAAGTATCACACAATAAGTTGAGTAACAAAATATGTAGTGGCTTATAATTAATTTTATCAGCATTCATGCTCAGTGAATTCAAATTAAAGCTGGCAAAGTTCAAAGTTGATAAGTTTACTTGTGTCACTGGACAACATCACTACATTTACTGCTCATGACTTCATGATTTGAACAGCCATTATTAGAACAGTGAGCTTGTAACAATTCCAATTTAACTAACCTCTCAATGACTCCATGTGTTGAACAACCATTCTTGAAACAGTAACCTTGCAACAATTCCAATTTAACTAACCTCTCAATGACTTCATGTGTTGTACAGCCATTATTAGAACAGTGAGCTTGTAACAATTCCAATTTAACTTACCTCTCAATGACTTCATGTGTTGTACAGCCATTATTAGAACAGTGAGCTTGTAACAATTCCAATTTAACTAACCTCTCAATGACTTCATGTGTTGTACAGCCATTATTAGAACAGTGAGCTTGTCACCAAAATTCCAATTTAACTAACCTCTCAATGACTTCATGTGTTGTACAGCCATTATTAGAACAGTGAGCTTGTAACAATTCCAATTTAACTAACCTCGCAATGACTTCATGTGTTGTACAGCCATTATTAGAACAGTGAGCTTGCCACAATTCCAATTTAACTAACCTCTCAATGACTTCATGTGTTGTACAGCCATTCTTAGAACAGTGAGCTTGCCACAATTCTGATTTAACTTACCTCTCAATGACTTCATGTGTTGTACAGCCATTCTTAGAACAGTGAGCTTGTCACACTTGCGATTCATGGCGTTACACATGGGTAACATGGTCGACAGCTGCATGATGTACGTGTTCATCTTGTCTCGTCTCCTCTTCTCTATCTCACTGTGATTCTGTCTGTTAAAAAAGAAAAATTTAACACTTTATTTGCTGAATTTGTATAATAGATTTGCAATCTTTGATTTTTGAACAGTTTGTTTACGGCTTTCTTGGGTCTATATTGGTTACAAAGGCTAACTACTTTTAGTTCCAGTAAGGTTAAAGGGTAAAATAAAACATTTTGTATGAGCTAAAGATCATAAAATTCAATGCTTGTACTTCGTTTTCTGTCTAGACTACCTTATTTGAAATAAATGAAAAAGCAAGCAGAAATTAATGATTCTTTTGCATAATTAAGGCGTTTAAGTTAAATTGTTGTCCTTTTTAAGAGCAAGCAGACATTAAAGACTCCTACACCTTTTTTTAAATTAAACAATATAAATATTAGATAAATCACTGATGTCCTAATGTTCTATTATTCTACGATGTCTGTAACAGTCAAAACGTCTGACTGATAAATATGCTACAAGCATTATAAGTATTATAACTGACTTGGCCAATTTATCAATATCTGTCAAATACATGGCTGATAATCTGTCTTACATAAAAGATTAAAATGGAATTATGCTGACATCAATATGCCAATAACAGATAAAACCAGAGCTGTCACATAAATAACCACCATCATCTCTTTGACACTGAATTCTATGTAGGTTATTTTCTTATTATTTTTGAAGGTGAACATTTGAGCTAAGCCAAGAAGATAGAATTTTATAGAGCATACACAAAACTGACCTACATTTGACCTTTGACGACCTTTACCTTGATCAAGCACAGCAACAGCACGGGTTCTGCACATCACCTTTTTGAGATGAACATTTGAGCTAAATTTGATGAAAATCTTTCAAGGGGTATCTAAGGATGCAAAAAAGTTCACACACAATTGTATGATACTTGACTTTCAAATGTGACCTTGAAGCACCACAAGGGGAACAAATAGGTTCTGCACATCCCCCATTACTTTTGGACTCGGGGGGATTTAAAAGGTTACTTGGTATAACTGAAAGTTAACAGCTTATCTTGTCCTACTGCATGCTATATGAACTGACTTTATTTTGTACCATATAAACTTCACAAACTGTTGATATGACCATTTTCTCAAATGATAAAGTCACATTAAGTAATTACCTGCCAGATCACCCTATTTCCTTTCACTTCCTGTCTATCAAGAATTAATTTCTCCATCAAGTGCAGGAAACGATACATCATTAAAGCTTCTTATATAAGGTCCTGTTTATCTTGGAGGGCACTGACTGCTTGAAAGCATATTTACTCAATAAAAATTCGGTCATGCCTTCTTTACAAAATGCCTTTCACCCCTTTTTACCCTTTTCTTTGGAAGTTGAGGAGGGGGGGGGGGGGAGTTAACGCTGCACCAACACAGCATAGGTCAGACCCTTATCCAAGAAATAAAACAATAGGACATATAGAAATCTAATTAACAAAGATACTTTCATTTTAACATTTTTCTATTGCAAAAATTACTTATTTCTATAAACCAACTTTCTACAAAGACCACCCTTTTATTATGCCAACTGAAAATCTTCTATACTTAAAATTATCTATTTATAGATATTTTTTCATTATTTAGCACAATCATTTTTGAGTAACAACATGCAATCTCAATCTCAGGTGACAATTTACATTTTACTTTACATGTCTTAACAACGACTTCAGGCTTGTCGTTCAATGCTTGTATGTATATGACTGGTACTCCTTTTATATAATATTAATATAAATAACCATCCAATGGTCTGAAGCAGCAATGAAGCAAAAACTGTCAGAAGCACTGGTTAGTATGACAACATGGCCAGTCACAAACATGATGTCCCATACTTATGTTGACTATAAGAGAAACTTGCCATCAAAGTATCTATTACATTTTTCTCCTTTTTTTCCACTTATTTCAATACTCCAGCTAGCTAGGTGGGTGACTTATACAAGAAAGCTTCAAGAAAAAGATTTGCTGACATGCAATTAACAACTAATTATCTATTGATTTAAAATCTCTTTATATCTCAACATATCGCCATAGAAACTGATAAAATGGAATCAGACTAGGGGACATGTCAGCCACCAATCCATGAATGAAGATATGAGAAATTCTCATTTGTTACATGTGACAGAGTGTAGGACAAAAGACCTCCCCTGAAAATGACGGGGGTGAACAAACAACTTCCAATAAAAAGAAATATACCTTTTCAAAACCTGAATAATTTAACTGCAGAGAAATTTTAGACATTATACCTTAAATAAGAAACAAATGATGTGTATATAGATTTAAATATGTTAAGTGTGTTGAAAAACAATAATAACATGCATATTTTGTTTATGGGAGGGCTTTTGTCCACCCTGTCATTTTTGGATATTGGTAGGCTTTTGTAAAGGAGGCTTCTGTCCGTTTGCCCATGTAAAATTCTTATTTGATATGTACCATTTTAAAACATGTGACATTTTCATATGATATAATTATGTGCCACTTAATATTTGATATAATTTATGTGACATTCATGTGTGATACATTTTTGTGACATTCTGTAATGGGAGATTCTCCGATGAAATATGCGACATTAATTCTTATATGATACATGTATATGTGAAATGATTCTCATTAAAATGTGCATGTGACATTCTTATTTCGATGAATGTCACATGATTATTTGACAGGAGTTTGCCCTAGGAAGTTGGTTCCATTGGTCCACAAATAGTTAACACAAAGAAATTATTTTAAGAATATGTGTGTACATGATGAAAATTACGTGATATTCTGTAAATAATTGCTTGTCAATGTCATTTAACATGTATAAAGTGATAATAACATCTCTATTGATTTTCAAGTCTTCATTGCATCATGTATAAAAAAAGTCATTTCTCAGTGTCAAGGTCAATGATAAAGAATCTGTGAAAAGATTTTAGCACATCATAACAACAAACGTCAAGCTATACATGTGTATTCACACAAAAAAAGAAATCAACTTCCATGATACATGTACTTCCATAATTTTGAGAGATTTTCCCATGATACCACAAAGATGCCAAATTACGTACTTTTCCACTTTTGGTCTATATCTTGTAGAAAATTGTAATGTCATTAAAACTTTTGGAACTACTACATTCTAAAAATTACTTGTAGCTCTTAGAAAATAAGTCTTTTATCATTGATAGTGAAGGGACACTGCCTCAATATTGATTAATACATGTAATAAGCTTATCTTAGTCTTTCAGGAGATTTTTAAGGCAGATTTTGGAAATTTCATGATATTTCAATGATAAATTTCTAAATTTTCAGCAAAGTTGTGTTATTTTACATCATGGAAATTCCCCAGTCTATGAACGCTGTCTTTTGTCCACCAGGAAGTATTACTTTCAGATAAATAAAGAGCACATTTATTCTATCTACATGTACTTTATTAACATTATGATTTCTGCGAATTCAGTAGATTCCACTACAAATATATGCTTGGTCACTTCAGAAAATGGAAAATGTCCAAAAGCAATATGTTATTGGAATTACAATTATGTTGCTAATGATTCCTGAAAGAGGGTAAAATGACCTGTGAAAATTGTTGACAAAAAAGTAAAAAATTAGCCATGTATGCTATTTTCGAAAATGTCAAATAAACATTTCCAACCAAACAAAAAGTGGCTATGTTGATTTACAATACTAGTATCTACCTTTCAATCAAATCTGAGCTCTAATTGGGATGTGACCGGATTTTTCTGTGCAACACCAGCACTAGTATGTTGCAACCCAGAGCTCTTATAAGTGTGATCCCTAATGGGAACATAATTATTATCATAAAATTAAATTCAAGTTTCCTGTGTGACAAAAATACTGGAATCTGCCGAGTTTGAGCCCTTCCAAGGGGACATAAACGATACACTTTGTAAATGCAGCACTGGTTGGTACAGGTAGTGGTCTCAAAAGTTATAAATTAACCTGATAATTATTTACTTAATGAACTTGTTCCTTGACTTTAGAAAGCATCCAATGTTAGTTTAGGAAATTCATGATTTAGTTAAATCTCGGAACAGACTTAATGAAGGGCTCTCTTAATGAAGGGATAGAGATATGGTGATATTTAAAGGGGTCTCTTCAGTAAAATCTTTTATTTAATATGCACATCACATAGTTTGTAAATAGCTATCTTTATACCTAATATAGTTTATCCAATTTGATCATTTGAAAATCTGTTTCCTCGTCCAGGTGCATGCACTTTTAAGTACAGTAAATATAATGTTTAGTAATTTCAATTTCTGAACTTTAGATATTACTGATCTAGTGACCTTTTTACTTAGTACTTATACTTACACCATACTTAAAATGTTTAATATCTTAGCACTTTAAGCTGAGTCAGTAAATCAATTACTTGTACTTTAGTGAACACATAGTTACAGTATGTCAAGAAGAAGGCTAAAAATTTACCCCTTATTGTTTTGTTTGTTTGCATTACAAAATGGCTCATTAATAAACTGCTAAGAAGACCGAATGTGGTTTCCTATAAAAAACAATCTCTCTTGACGCCACTTTTATTTTAAACATCTAATTTGATAACACTCAGCTATCTTAAAGCCAAAACAAATGTATTTGCTGTTTCTACTCATAGTAGGTCAGCTTTGGTCTGATTACGAGTTGACAGTAATGTACACGGAAACATATTCTGCCAAACAAGTTATACTTTCCAATGCAACTACTGGTAAGTCAATTGGCCACAAGCCATCCACTTATGTTTTCAATCATTTTACATTTAACATTTAATGGAACTAAAGGTCAGGCCTGGAGTACTCGCCAATATTGCGTTTTACAATGCGAGCAAGTTTTTACAATGACCACAAATCACTGAAATCATTGGTTAACAATATGCTTTTAGTTATATTGGATTATCATAATTAAAAGTTAGTATCCAACAAGAACCAGATAAAAACGACAACAGAGGCGAAATATTGGGAGATGATTTTTACGAAGTCACATAAAAACGTACCTGGCAAACTTTTTGACGTCGTCTGCCTCATTTCCATCATCTTCGTCCTCATTACCTTCTGTCGACAAGCTGTTATGATAAGTATAAAACAAGAAATTATATCCCTAGAAAAACTGGAACTATCACTAAATGTGATTAATACCCCCACAAGTCTGCTTCGGAAATGAGGATGTTACTAGTAACAGAATACCTTGTAAAAGAATTGAAACATAGAGTTATGGTTGTGGGCAATTAAAGATAATTGTGGTTCATGTATGTTGCATTTCCTTTCAATGTGGTTGGCCATTGATGAAGTTTAATTGAATTACTCTGTAATAAGTCCAGAAAGACAAAGAAAAAGAACAAAGGGCAATAACTCTATAAATACTGAAGATAGAGTTATAGTTCTTGTGCACTGCACTTCCTCTTATTGTGCTTGACCATTGTATGAAGTTGTTTTGAATTCCAACCAGTACGTTTTAAGTTATGCTCCGGACAAGGAAAAGTATCAAAGGGCAGTAACTCTGTATTTTGTCAAAATGGAGTTATGGCTCTTGTGCACTGCACTTCCTTTGAATGTCCTTGACAACTGTATGAAGTTGTACTGAATTCCAAACAGTAGTTTTCAAGTCATGCTCTGGACAAGGAAAGTAACAAAGGGCAATAACTCTGTAATTAGTCAAGATGGAGTTATGGTTCTTGTGCACTGCACTTCCCCTTATTGTGCTTGACCATTGTATGAAGTTGTTTTGAATTCCAATCAGTAGTTTTCAAGTCATGCTCTGGACAAGGAAAAGTAACAAAGGGCAGTAACTCTGTAATTAGTCAAGATGGAGTTATGGTTCCTATGCACTGCACTTCCTCTCAATGTGCTTGACCATTGTATGAAGTTATAATGAATTCCAACAATAAGTCTTCAAGTTATGGTCCGGACAAAAGAAAGCAATGGAAAAGTAACAAAGGGCAATAACTCTGTAATTAGTCAAGATGGAGTTATAGTTCTTGTGCACTGCACTTCCCCTTATTGTGCTTGACCATTGTATGAAGTTGTTTTGAATTCCAACCAGTAGTTTTAAAGTCATGCTCTGGACAAGGAAAAGAAACAAAGGGCAGTAACTCTGTAATAAGTCAAAATGGAGTTATGGTTCTTGTGCACTGCACTTCTTCTCAATGTGCCGGACCATTGTATGAAGTTATAATGAATTCCAACAATTAGTCTTCAAGTTATGGTCCGGACAAAAGAAAGCAATGGAAAAGTAATAAAGGGCAATAACTCTGTAATTACTTTAGATAGAGTTATGGTTCTTATGCACTGCACTTCCTCTCAATGTGCTTGACCATTGTATGTAGTTATATTGAATTCCAACCATTAGTCTTCAAGTTATGCTCCGGACAAAAAAAAGAATGCAAATTGAAAAGCAACAAAGGGCAATAACTCTGTAATTACTTTAGATAGAGTTATGGTTCTTGTGCACTGCACTTCCCCTTATTGTGTTTGACAATTGTATGAAGTTGTTTTGAATTCCAACCAGTAGTTTTCAAGTAATGCCCCGGACAAGGAAAAGTAACAAAGGGCAATAACTCTGTAATTAGTCAAGATAGAGTTATGGTTCTTGTGCACTGCACTTCCTCTCAATGTGCTTGACCATTGTATGTAGTTATATTGAATTCCAACCATTAGTCTTCAAGTTATGCTCCGGACAAGGAAAATGCAACGGACAAAAAAAAAAAACGCAATGGAAAAGCAACAAAGGGCAATAACTCTGTAATTACTTTAGATAGAGTTATGGTTCTTGTGCACTGCACTTCCCCTTATTGTGTTTGACAATTGTATGAAGTTGTTTTGAATTCCAACCAGTAGTTTTCAAGTAATGCCCAGGACAAGGAAAAGTAACAAAGGGCAATAACTCTGTAATTAGTCAAGATAGAGTTATGGTTCTTGTGCACTGCACTTCCTCTCAATGTGCTTGACCATTGTATGTAGTTATATTGAATTCCAACCATTAGTCTTCAAGTTATGCTCCGGACAAGGAAAATGCAACGGACAAAAAAAAAACGCAATGGAAAAGCAACAAAGGGCAATAACTCTGTAATTACTTTAGATAGAGTTATGGTTCTTGTGCACTGCACTTCCCCTTATTGTGTTTGACAATTGTATTAAGTTGTTTTGAATTCCAACCAGTAGTTTTCAAGTTATGCCCCGGACAAGGAAAAGTAACAAAGGGCAATAACTCTGTAATTAGTTAAGATAGAGTTATGGTTCTTGTGCACTGCACTTCCTCTCAATGTGCTTGACCATTGTATGTAGTTATATTGAATTCCAACCATTAGTTTTCAAGTTATGCTCCGGACAAGGAAAATGCAACGGACGTCTGGACCGACCGACCGACCGACCGACCGACCAACCACCGGGTGACTCCTATATACCCCCCCAAACTTCGTTTTTGGGGGTATAATGAATAAAGATAAAATTTAATCCTTTGCTGATTTAGTTTTACCAAGCTAATTGCCTATAAAGTGTATACTGCATGATCTTTGACTTAAGTTTGTGATTGTGCATTGTTTATTTTAAAGATTTCAGAAGTTGAAACAAGACCTGTCAGTAAGTCAGTGTGCTTGACTATTCTAAATGCTTGATAGTAAAACAAAAGCCTGGATAATGTAGAATTTCCTAAGTCCAAAAAGGGCCATAATTCTGTCAAAATCCTTGTTAGAGTTATGATAAGTGATCTCCTATTATGCTCTCAAATAAGTGTGTGAAGTTTCGACCCATTGCCTTCAGAAGTTTTAGAAATACCAAACATGTAAATACCAAGCTGCATGCAAAATCTTAACCAAAGTATGACGCGGACTCCACCAAAAGTACAATAGATCTCCTTATACTTCAAATAGTCAAGTAAGCTGACAACAGTATAGAGTCAGGTCAGACTATAAATATTAGCCTGGCCTTGATCTATATATGCAGGATTAAGGTTTACGACCCTAACATAGATGTAATACTGAGTCTTATCCTGGATATTTTCATACTTATCAGCCCAATAGATTTCTTAATACATATTTTTAGTGAATTTTTGTCACATGAAAGCATGTTGTTCACACTGAGTGACCTCATTATTTGAGAAAATGCCATTATGGCATTCTGCACCATAATGGCTGCCTGCAATTACATGCTTATTAGTCTGTAAACCGTATTGTTGTATTACTTGGAGAGATAACTCAAGATAATCTCTCTTGTAACTTAAGCCACCCTGCTTTGTAATTTTACTGAGTCACCTTAAGTATGAAACCAAGAAAATAAAATATCATACAAAAATCTGATAATCATATCTGAACTCTTCAATATGATAGCATTATAATATTATTTAATGATAAAGTCAATTTCCTGACCAATCACAGTATAATGTAAATTGTGCTATTGGCTATAACTTGACAATTAAGTCATAAGAGCAACAAGCATTTAAAGGCCTAAATGGCAGAATGTTAGAGATACTTAGACACCAGTAAAAACGATGGACCTACTTTTCAGTTTTTTACGCAAATTGTTAGAAGCAGAATCTAAGAGTATCAAACAGCCAAATATCTAAATTTCTAAGAAATTTATTTCAAGACATTATTTTCAAGAGGAAAATATTTTTTTGTATATTACAGTCCACAATTTTAGTTTGAAGGCACAATTGCATCCGGTAAAAGAAACATTCGGCTAAAATATATCAAGGTCATTAACAGCCAACTTACTCTAGGGAAGGGCATTTCCTCTTGCGGACTGTGCCGGTTCCTGAGCAACTTGCTGACATGCTTGACGGGCTTAACGCCTGCGTTGATGTCTGACCTAAATACGAGTTCATGTTAGACTTCATCTCCATGGCACCCTGATATGGTGAAAAATTTCCATACGAGAGGCGGCTGAAGTCAGGGGCCTCGATCACACCGGGCAGACCCCAATCTCCCTGCTGATTGAAGAAATCTGAAAATATAAACAGTGCCTATATATTAAACTTCAATTTTTATTTTCTTTTAGATTTTATGACTGAGTCCATTCCTAAAAATATAAGAAATGTTTTCAACCAATGCAAAGTAACAAAATATTTCCAAGCAAAATGGGTTTTCTAGTGTTTGCACCAATTCTGAAAAAAAATGTAACAATTCATTCACTGTGTAATACGAATCATCATTCAATCACTCAGGACAGCATGCTTCAAATTGATGCCATTTGCATCGCCTTTATGAATGAGTTGCCTCAGCTAAGGTTGACATCATTCCACCATTATGAATGTAGGTGTAAGGTCATACCCTAAAGTGCGAAATAAAAGATATTACCTTTTGTTATTTCTTTTAAAACTTATAACAAACATGTGGAATACAAGGAAAAGAAACAATCATTGGCTGTCATCACAGACATGAATATATTGATCTGGCATTCAGGTACATATTTGTTTATAGCTTAAACCCTGCAGAGCCTTAATACCATCTTAAAACAGTTACCCTCAAACAAGATATTCCAGTCCCACAGCATGCTTAGGCAGCCAGTGGTTAAGTCTAAGATTATAATATGAGAACATCATGCCTAATGCTTGTATAGAAATTTTTTGGCCTTTTTAAAGCATCTGTATCACATAGAAGCATTTTGCACCATATGATAATCGTATGAAAGCTTTTGTCCAATATATACATGTACAATCTTTTATTAAGAATATAACATTTCCCTTAACATCAATATCATGCACTGTACATTGTCATTGCATTAGACAAATTTTATCACAATATGCGATAAAAATTCAAAATCATTTTTCAGTTCTCTTTTTCCAACTGCAAGGTTAAAGTTAAGCTAACTAAAAATTATTAATATCTTAACAAATGTTTCATCCTTAAACTTTTTAGATAAAGCTTAAACAAGAGCCACCACCAGTTGGGGACCACACCTTGAAGGAAAGAATTACTCCTAAAAAGAATTTAACTGTCTTGAACCAATTATAACATTTAATATTTGACCTTGATGGTCAAGGTCATTCAAAGGTCTAGGTCAAATTTACATTAATCATCGTTGTCATGTTTTGACACAAGCATTCTCTTGTCCAAGAATAAACAAAATCCGTTAACAAATAAAATTACGACAATTTCAGTAAATTTCAATATTTTGACCTTGATGGCAAAGGTCAATTAAAGGTCAAAGTTATATCAGAATAATTCAACATTCAGTTTAGTCATATGTGTTATTTTGTCAAGGTCATTGATGAATGAAGGTTATGATTAATTTGGTCTACATAAAGGTCTTGTTCTAAGGATTACTGTATCTAATTTTGAAGATTATTTATTCAAAAAATAATTCATTCAAAAAATAACAAAGTTATAGTTGATTATGTAAAAAATCAAGCAAATTCTAATATTTGACCTTGAATGTCAAGGTCATTTATGAGTGAAGGTCAAGTTTAGTTTGATCAACTTGAAACTCAAAGAGTTGTTAATTGTGTTAATTGAGAAATTAAAAAAAATATGACCAATGTTCAAGTTTTCGGACAGCAACAGAAATGACAAATAGCTCTTTTTTACATAAAATAAGTCTTGCTAAAAATTATTTTGCTGACTTTTTCTTGTTTGTTTTAAGTTGCCTCCTCCAACAGTCACTCACCGACTTTATCAAGAAAGACCTAAGGTGTTTTTTCTAAATATCATTTCATGACACAGTTAGTACATATATGTATATATATATTATGTATATATATATGATATATTTATTTGTAGAATTTATGACCTTGAATAAATAAGCTAAATTGGTACATACATATGTCATGGCCATATTTGCTTAAGTTTTTAATTGGTCAATCTCACGTTTTATTTATGGTGTTTAATTTTCTGCACTTTGCCATGCTTTTATTGCGTAATACTGAACTTACAGCGTATTTGTACAAGCACATGAGGCTATTATAAACAATCACCATTTCACAGTAAGATAATGGGCTTTTGTAATTTCAATTATGTTTTAGAAAAGTGGCAATTTTATCACACATGCCATATTACTTCCTCCCACCTATCCCCCGCCCCCCACTGTCACATCCCACCTATCCCTCCCCACAATTTCATCAAAAGTGTCATCAATTAATTTTGTTCGAAACAAACCTTGTCTATCGCCATTTCACAAGATAAAAGTATTTAACTTACAAAAACATGCATAGGATAGTCTAATATAATAACACCATAACACAATCAAGGGGGTGTTTCACAGATATTAACCCATTTTGTCACATAATCATCAGTCATACAACATAAAATAACACATTAAGCACAATTTTCAGAGAAAGAAACACCCATTTTAACAATTAACTGTGATATATCAACACTTCTACTCATTTTGTTTTATTGTATACTTTAACTTGTATCAGTGTAACAAATGTGTGAATAATATGTTATGTAAATCGAAGGGTATCAAACTTTATTTGAATGACTATAAACAGGGCTCTATCTCTGTTCTGAGGGAACAGTCACTGGCTATTGCTCTGTTCTGAGGGAACAGTCACTGACTCTCTCTCTGTTCTGAGGAAACAGTCACTGGCTCTCTCTCTCTGTTCTGATGGGACAGTCACTGGCTCTCTCTCTCTGTTCTGAGGGATCAGTCACTGGCTCACTCTCTCTGTTTTGAGGGAACAGTCACCTGCTCAGACTCTCTCTGTTCCGACGGATCAGTAACTGGCTCACTCTCTCTGTTCCGAGGGAAGAGTCACCTGCTCAATCTCTCTGTTCCAAGGGATCAGTCACTGGCTCACTCTCTCTGTTCTGAGGGAACAGTCACCTGCTCTCTCTCTGTTCTGAGGGAACAGTCACCGGCTCTCTCTCTGTTCTGAGGGAACAGTCACCTGCTCTCTCTCTGTTCCGAGGGATCAGTCACTGGCTCACTCTCTCTGTTCTGAGGGAACAGTCACCTGCTCTCTCTCTGTTCTGAGGGAACAGTCACCTGCTCTCTCTCTGTTCTGAGGGAACAGTCACCGGCTCTCTCTCTGTTCTAAGGGAACAGTCACCGGCTCTCTCTCTCTGTTCTGAGGGAACAGTCACCTGCTCACACTTTACCAGCCAAGCAGTGAAATTCACTTCATTTTCCCTTGTAGGGGCAATTGCAAGCAATATTTGCAGCACATACATCCAATAGTTATATTTACAAAACATACATGATAGCTACTGTCTATGTTAAACTGCAATATATGACATTCAGCATGTCTTGTATTAAAAGTTCTGGGGGGGGGGCAACTTTTTTATGACTATTGGAATTTATGATGCCAAATCTTAGCACTAAAAACAATGGAGATCAAGTCAGTCCTGTTGACAGAATAAATTGAATCATATTGTGATAAGAATATGATAATTATCCCTTTATTAGTACATTAATTGAAAGAATGATGCTTGTAAATCGGGCAATTAAATCATCCATGTGACAAGTCTGTGTGTTCTGATCATAGTCTTCACAGTTTGCTAATCAGTCAGAAGATTTTTTTTAAAAAATCCTTTTAAAATGATTTTGTACACTCAAAATACTGTAAATTGACTAGTCAGAACAAAACCATTCATCGTTTTAATGCAAAATTTCAAAATATGATTGAATAGCAACAGTGCAGCCCGTGGCATATGATCTGACCACACAGTATTGCAGCTAATATTCTCAGTCTGCACTGGTTGCATGTATATATTCAACACAGGTTTGACTTTATATGATTAAATATTTCAAAATACATATCAAAGGCCTAAAAGGGTTACAAAATATACAATGGCTTACAAGTAAACATACTACTTCAATTTGTTTGACAATTATAAATGTATATCAACACATCTCTGACAAATAGTAACTTGAGTACTTAAGTACACACGTTGATAAAGAACAATGCTTAGACACCATTTTCATCAGCAATATAAAAATATATCGATTAATGTTCTTTACTCAGGATTTTTTTTTAAAACATGTCTAATTTTTTTCTCTCAATATTTATGATATTTTATCATTTATATTGACAAGTTTACTTTGAGCTACAAACAAAAGTTGTTCAACATAACTTCTCTTGCCATCATGCATTCGCCTATGCCTCTGCAGATGATGTGCATGAAAATAGTGCATTGCTGCTATTCTTCCTTAAAAATATAAAGAAATGGGTTACATCATGCTGGTGTTGATGTTTATGTTTTGATAATGAAACTACCGGGGCCATCATTGCAGTGAGCAATTTTTCCATGGCACCCTGAGTCAGGCATATTAAAAAATATGAGAAAAAAAATGCACGCATGAGTTTAACAGTTAATGCATGTTCTCATCTACATAAGTGTATAACTCCTGCTTGCACAGCAGTAACATAAATATATGCTAAAATTATTGAAATAAAAAATTCTAAGTTTGAAATTAAATGTTCTTAATATTTGTGATTACTTTGTATATACCGGTAACATATTACAAAACAATTCAGTTAAATGGCTGTACAAAAATCGCCAGTTGATTTTATTTATTTTATTTAAAGTCAACAGCATCTTTACTTTCCTGTTTCTACTTCACTACAGAAAACATTACCTTGAACAATCCAAAGAATTCTTTTTTTGTGTCTTCTCTGTACTACATGTAAATCAGTGTCTCGTGTTTCATTCTGACAGCAAAATATGGCCAAATAATGAAACAACATCTAGAAATCCTTTAAACCTCAGTGCCCACATGTCTTCTTTCACATGTACACACATTGTCAATGTGCTATCAACTTACAATGAAGATTATTCTTAGAGACTTTATAAGCTCGAGAATTTCTTTTTCTAGTCAGTTGAAGTTAATGCCCTCTTTAATTTGGCATATCTAAAATAATTACAAGAAAAAAAGAGTCATGAACTCTTAATTAATTACTCATTTTCTCTTTATGGACTCAACCATTCTAATTAATTTACTCATTATAATTTCCATTAAGGCACATGACTATAACTGTTTGACTGTAAAATACAGAAAAAAAT